AATATTAATTTTAATAATCTTTATATATATATATAAATAGCTATTTAGGAAATATAAAAAGGAAAACTATATAATTTGAAAAAAAAACTAAGAAAAATTTAGTAAGAAATATCCAAACACTGTGTGAAGACTCAAAAATGAACACATAATAGCAAAGCATTGTAGACTATGCCTAAAAGTTCAGCCCTTGAAAGATTGAGGCAGAAAGGTCAGTGATTCAAGATCAGTCTCAGCTATACAGCAAGTTCAAGGCTTGTGTGGGTTATATGAGAACCTGTCTCAATACAATAACAGAAAAGAAAGATAAGTTCAACTCTGTGCTGCAAAAAAAGATATAATACAGTACTAACTCCAGCACCTCAGAATATGGTTATCTTTTGGCCTCCACATGCTTGTCTTCACACACACACACACACACACACGCACCTGCACACACTCAAAAGCAATGCAGACACACACACACACACGCACCTGCACACACTCAAAAGCAATGCAGACACACACACACACACACACACACACACACACACACACAAATGAATAGTATTGAAAAATAACACCTTGGGTTGATGAAATAGCTCATCAGATAAAGGCATTTGCTACCAAGTCTGATGACCCAAGTTCTATTGTATAACTAGTCCTAAAACTTCAACATGTGCACCATAGCACACATGCACCCACATACATGTGCATGCATACATACACACACCCCCACACACAAATAAAAATGTAATTAAAAAGTTTTAAAGGGTGACGACATCATAGTTGTAAGAAGAGCTCACACTGTTACATGCTTTAGGAAAACACCTTGGGAAACTTGGGAAATGTCTCAGACAGATTAACCATTTGTTGTTCCTCTCTCCTCACCTGTCTGCTTCCCTCCCACTAACCTGGACAGTATCTCTTTAATACTTCTTTCTCCACCACGCATGGTGCTTCCTCTTGTTCCAACTTGAAAATCACCTCAGGTTTGGTGAGTGGAGAGCCTGTTGGGGGAGATGACACTAATTTGGGTATACACACCAGTAACAAAAAACAGCCCAGGAAATGAGATAGGCCTGGGGAAGCCAGGCGTTCCAACCTCTGGGAATGCTGGACCCTAAAATATCATCAGGATTCTGCTTTGAAGTAAGAGCATGGACAGGACCAGTAACAAAGGCATCTCAAGGCAGACCTCACCAACATTCTGAAGTTTCACCTATTTTAGAAAAACGATGTCATCTCACCCACGTGACTAGGAAAAGGACGCCATCTCACCCACTGTGACAAGGTTGCTGTAGTTCTCTAGCATCACGCTCCGGTACAGGCTCCTCTGAGTAGGGTCCAATCGCTCCCATTCTTCTGCGGTGAAATCTATAGCCACATCTTTGAATGTCACTGTTCCCTGTGACAACACACGTACACTCAATCTGAAGTTAATCCATTTTAAAGACATAGGAAAAACATAAGGAATCTCATTCAGATATTATTCAGAAAAAAAAGAGGTTATAAAAGGTGCCCATTTCTAGACAAAATAAAACAAATACCATATTAGAAATATTCTGTCCATTTATGATCATTTAATAGAAAGTAGACTCAGTAATATCTATATACAGTAGAATTCTGTTCAGTCATAAAGAAAAATGGCATCACACCTGATGAGCAAAGTGTGGCTGGGACTTCAGTCTTACCTGCTCCCCCAGTGGGCACGGCATGCTAGGGAGGTTCTAGCCTTGCCTGTAGTCCTGGTGAGTTCGGCATGTCCAGGAAGCCTCACTCCTACCTACCATCACACCGGTAACCAGTTTCTGGAAAGCAACTGCCCCGCATCTTCCATAAGTGAGGTTAGTACACCTCGTTGCCACCACCCATCTCTACCAGGTGATAACAATAACCTAGTATCCTTCACAGTGAAGACCATAAAGAGACATTCATAACACACAAATGCCCACTCTGAAACAATAAGGGTAAGTTAAAAAAGAAATAAATTCAACCAACAGCTCCAGATGTACAAGTCACAAGACAATACACACACAAGTGACATGAAAAACCAAGGCAACCTAACTCCTTCAAAAGTACTACTCCATAGTAATGGCATCCAATGAAAGTGAGCTGTATGAAATCACCCCAAAAATAACTTAAAAGAAGGCTATGTATGTTCAAAGAACTTAGAGAATAAAATAAACTTTTGAAAAGAATCCCAAGAAAACACAAACAGTTGATTCCAATATGAACAGAGACACATGACATGAGAGAGGGATTCTGCAAGAAGACAGAAGTACTGAAGAAAACCCAAACTGAAATACCAGAAATGAAGAACAGAGCAACCAAATGAAAAGCTCTGCAGAGGTCTCCCCAACAGAGGGCGCTGAAAGGGAGCCATAGGATAGAAGCAAACAAAATTCAAAGTCACTAGTTCATCCCTCAAAAGCACTAAGGTGGAAAACCTAAAATCAGGAATAAATTTTGATATGTGTATTTATTATCTATCATAACTACACCTCCCAGGGTCTCACCACACTGCAGAAACCAATTGCTCTTGGAACAGCTGCATCCCAGCAGTAGACAACAGACAGAACAGGAACCCACAGCACCGCTGGACGTTCCTTGCTCATAATGTTGTGTCAGCGTTTTTTGTTTTTTTTGTTTTTTGTTTTTTTTTTTTGCTTTTTATTTATTTATTTACTTATTTATTTTTGCCTATTTTGGGTTTTGGTTTTTTGGGACAGGGTCTCTCTATGTAGTTCTGGCTTTCCTGAAACTTATTCTGTAGACCAGGCTGGCTTAAACTCAGGGATCTGCCTGCCTCCTGAGTGCTGGGATTAAAGGCGTATGCCACCATGCCCAACTTAATTTTACTATTTATTTATTTATTTATATCTTATTTAGATTTTTTTTCTCTTTTAACCCTACAGGTCCTTTGGGTAAATATTATGGTCTCCAGTACAATGTTTTCACGAGATTCATGAGTGTGCAAATGAGTGTGCCTCTGTCTCTATACCTGTTTCTTGTGCCTTTTCTTGGGCTTTTGTCCTTCTGTTTGTTTGTCCTATTTCAATGTGCTAGTTTTTGTTATCATATCATCATATCACATAGAATCCCTTAGAAGCTTGGTTTATGTTCTAATGAGACAGAGGGGGTGGACCTGGATGGGAGGGGGTGGAGAAAAGCTGGGGGGAGGGGGAGGGGAAACTATAATCAGGATCTATTATGTGAGAAAAAATCTATTCACAACAAAAGGGAAAAATATCTCCCTTAGAGCTGATGAGACAGCTCAGCAGTTATGAACATTTACTACTCAATCATGAGGATCTGAGTTCAGATTCCTTGGCACATATAACAAGCCAGATATCCCAAACATGCCTGTAACCCAGCTCTGCAGAGAAGGGGCTCCAGCCTACCTGAAAGAATACCAGTTTCAGGGAGAAACCCTGCCTCAAAAGAACAGACAGCAAAACACAGAGGATCACACCTGACACCTTCTTCCTGCATGCATGTACCTGCACACACATAATATATGCCCAGACACACGTATACAGACACCTTTTTCCTGCATCCGTGTACCTGCACACACATGTAATACATGCTCAGACACACATATACAGACACATTCTTGTATCCGTGTATCTGCACACACACGTAATATATGCTCAGACACACATATACAGACATGCTATTCCTGCATCCGTGTACCTGCACACATGTAATATATGCTCAGACACATATAAATACAGACATCTTCTTCCTGCATCCATGTACCTGCACATACATAATACATGCTCAGACACACACATACAGACACCTTCTTACTGCATCTGAGTACCTGCATACACACACGTAAAATATGCTCAGACACACATATACAGACACCTTCTTACTGCATCTGAGTACATGCATACACACACGTAATATATGCTCAGACACATATATGCAGACACATAAAATAAGTTTAAAATTTTTTTTAAAGTTTGCTGCAGCAAAATGGCTTTGGCAACTGCTGTGAAAGACATAACATATGAGATGTTGATTTGTCTCTAGAAAAACTCTAGTTTTGTGCTCATTGTCATGTTTTATTAACTAATTTAGGTGACTATAATAAAAGAAGACTGTGATTTTATTTTCTGTTTTTGCTGTACTTTTGATTTGTTGGAGACAGAATCTGTGCTGCGGGAGCTACTTCTACTCCTTCAGCCAATAGCCTTTAAGATACCAGCCCACTTGGGCATGGTCTCTTTTGTTTTAAAAAGCAGCGGTAGCCGTGTGCTTGCTTTCTTGCTTCTGGCTCCACTTCTGGCTGTTAGACTTCATTCCTGATCGTGCAGAGGGATGTTGTCTGGGGCGGTGATCTGTAAGTTTTTCTCCCTTTAAATATATAACCCCTTTATTTATCATAATTCCAAACTGGTGTGGGATTGTTTTGTGCCTTACGCCTTCAAATCTGAAACTCACTATGTAGACAAGGTAACCTGTAACTCACAGAGATCCTCCTGCCTCTGCTTATAAATGAGCCACTATGCCTGACAATAATATGATTTTTATGTATTTAAATTTTGAGTTTCTCCTTTACCACAAATGAATCACTATTATGTTGAACAGGCAAGCTTGTAAATAGAGAAAATATATTCAACAGGGCTGGAGGGAAGGCTCAGGACTAAGAGAACTTACAGAGGACCACGCTCAGCTCCAGCAGCCATTCCAGGCAGCTCACAACTGCCTGCAATTCCAGCTCAGAAGACCTGACTCCCTCTTTGAGACTCTACAGGCTCCTTAACATGCACACGCACACAGAATCTTCTATTTAAATTTTAAAGGGGGCGGCTCCTATCTCAGGGATAGAGTACTCATGCATGGTGCCCTGTGTTCAAACCCCAACACCACAGACAAATCAACAACACTCAAGAAGGTTACTTGGGGTGACAGTGTCTACAACACAATGTCATTTTGGACAATCACTTTAGAAAACGGTTTACCACAACAATGAACTTTATACACAGACTGACATTTATAAGAAATTTCCGATTTTTCATATTTATAATTCCTAAAAATAAAACCAATTAAGTGACTATCAGCAATATGCATAAATACAAGCTAATTGAGTGAGAGAACGTGAGCTACAACTAGATGTAACAACTGAACATGGATAAATCTGATAAACATAATATTAAGCAGATAAAGCCAGATACAGACAGATCACATGGAGTATTTGACTCAGTCCCTTCCATCCAGCACATGGGGCCCAGACTGAATCAGGTCTTCAAATCTGGTGGCAAGTGTCTTTACTTTCTGAGCCGTCTCATTCTATTTCTTGGCCCTGTGCTGGCTGTGCTATGCCTGAGTCATGAGACCCCCAATGGGACCCCACGGAGCTGACTTTCCAAGGTTTCTCTATTGCTTTTCAAGCTGATTGGCTGTCCTCAGGTATCTGGACAGCAGGCAGATTTTGGGCCATTTGTGGCCTTTCTCAGAATTTTCAGGTTTATGGTGTAAGGCACCTGAAGTGAGGTGCCTGTTAGGTTAGATTCTCACATCGTACAGCGTGTTCACTTGAAAATTATCTCCATGTACCTGACGCAAAAACTAGAGGTATAACAAACTAGCAGAAACACAGTTGAGGGGAAAAACCCTCGGTGACTAAGAGAACTTACAGAAATAACCTCAATTTAAATAAAGATGCTATGAAGGGAGGGTTATATCCGACAATTCAATAGCAGAAAATCTGTGTGCTCAGCCCGACAATTTTATAAATTACAACATGGCCATCCACCAAATAGTCTTTAATACTCCACACAGCCTAACACCTTCTCTTGGGTAACCTTCCACCCTCTCAGAGCTACTATTCTGACTGTGCTGATGTTAAGCAGGTAATATTCTCATTACCCAAGCTGGCCTTGAACTTGCTCAGCAGCCAAAGCTGACATTGACCTTCTGCTCTTTTCACCTTCCAAGTACCTGGACCATGAACATATACCCAATACCCAAGCCACTATTCTGACTCCTAACACCTTTTGCAAGTCTGAATGTCATAAGAATGGAAACAGTTGGTATGTACTGATGTCTCCAGATTCTCTCTGTGTTGATGGACATAGGGATACACTCCCTTAGTGCTGTACAGAAGTGCACACTGTGTTTAGACACACTCCCTTACTGCTGCACAGCACTGTACACTGTTTAGACACACTCCCTTACTGCTGCACAGCACTGTACACTGTTTAGACACACTCCCTTACTGCTGCACAGCACTGTACAGTGTTTAGACACACTCCCTTACTGCTGCACAGCACTGCACACTGTGTTTAGACACACTCCCTTACTGCTAAGCATCCCTGCACTGTGTTTAGATACACTCCCTTACCACTGTATGGTGTCAGGTGCTATTGATGTTTATTTGTGCTCCTTCTGATTCTGGACTGCTTTGACACATACTGTTTCATCTTTAATCAAAACAAACAAAAATGTAGGTTTATCAAGTATAAGGAGCCACACACAGCATTATTCTCATTGACCCATGTGACAGCAAAAGGCTTGTTTCTGTGAGGAAATTATTGCTTTGGGGCGTTTATATAATGAAAGTGATGTCATCAACTTGTGCCCTGGTTTTCTTTACCTGGTGGAACACACTTTAATTTCAGCACTCAGGAGGCAAGTAGGAGGATCTCTGTGTGCTGGAGGCCAGCCTGATCCATAGAGCGAGTTCCAGGACAGCTAGGGCTATTACACAGAGAAGCCAATCTTGAAAAACCAAAAAGAATAATTAAAAAAAAGAAGAAGAATGAAACCAAAACGCGAGGCCCAACTTTAGCCTCTTGGACTTCATAGAACAACCACATTTGATTCCCCCATAGTTTTAAACTTCTGACACTATTTCCTTTGGAGAAAATACTGCTTCTGTCTTCTGGATGTGGGCTCTTTAAATGCATGGCGCGTGACTGAGTGCTCTGGACCAGTGCACAGGCAGAGCACAAGACGCTGGATTTACCTTGGACTCCGTCATTTCCTCTTCTTTTGGGAAGGGGCGGCCTGAGCAGGCTGAGCTGGAAAAAAGAACAAAAGTCATTAGAACACAGTTGCCCTTGTGGTTTCAGCATTATGTACCTACAACTTACAACCATTCTTGGATCCAAGAGAAAGCGGGACAATAGTCATACTGCTGAGAGGCCAACACCACAAGGGTCACGAGGCTGAGAGTGGGGTGTGCCGAGCAGGGCCACATCCATGGGGGGGCCTGGGACTGTGACTGCAGCTCTGAAAGCATAGGCCAGGACAATTAGGAAACTGCTAAGACACACAGGCTCTCTTAGTGGACAGAGCCATTTACAAAAGAATTAATTAAATGTGAACATATCAAGAAAGGTGATGTATTTCCAGGACTGGAAGGTTTATGTTAGGCATATCAGAAGTACTGGTGGTTAAGAGAATTAAATCTATTTTCCATAGAAAAAGAAAGAAAGAAAGAAAGAAAGAAAGAAAGAAAGAAAGGAAGGAAGGAAGGAAGGAAGGAAGGAAGGAAGGAAGGAGAGAGAAAGAAAGAAAGAAAGAAAGAAAGAAAGAAAGAAAGAAAGAAAGAAAGAAAGAAAGAAAGGAATCTAAACCAGAGAGGCATTAGACATGCTGGTGGAATTACAGAATTAGAACAGTGAAGGGCTGAAAACCTGACTCAGTGATCAAGACTTTGTTGCTCTACCATCAAGACCCAAGCTGGATTCCAGCAGCCACAGCCCAGAGCTCACAAATGCCTGTAAATCCAACTGCATGGCAAGGGATCCAGTGACCTTCTTTGGTCACACACACACAAACATGCACGCGCGCGCGCGCGCACACACACACACACACACACACACACACAATGGGTATATACCCACACATTAATTAGTGGGCTCCCTGGGATTCCATGATTTCCTTACTACTAACTACACAGGCTTCTTGATTCTAGGTTGTTCTGCTTCTCTGCCTGAACTGTTCTCAGGAACCTGTCTTTGCATTTGCTGATCCTTTCCTCTTGATCTAGTCTGGGCTGAACCATGTTACTGTATACTTTCCAGTGTATTTGCTATGTTCTTCAACTCTAAAAATTCCATGGTACCTCTTGTTTCTGTCTGCTCCAATTCTCTTTTTTTCATGCATTGTTCTCTTGACCCTAGTGAGCTTCTTTATAAGATTTATTTTTATTTTTATTTTTGTCAGATAAGCCATTTAGCTCTGATTCCCCAGAATTGGCTTCAGGCAATTAATCTCGTATGTCTCTGTGGGAATCTTGGCTGACTTTACATTTCCTCTGACTCTCTGTCTTCTGATGTCTGTGCATCAGACAAACTCCCAGCCTTCATGGATTGGCCTTGGGACAGACAGACATCCTGGCCAGGGAATCTGGGGCCTTCTGATGCTTCTCTTTCTAAGGAAGCAGCAGCAGCTATAGTCTTTGTCTACTCCCCCTAGGTCAGACACCTAAAGCCTAAATTGCCATTCCTCTCTTCCTGAGTAGCTAGGCTGTTCCAGACCTGATGGAGACTGCTGAGACACAGCTCTTTCACAGTCCCACAGAACCTAGGGGGAAACAAAAGGACCCAAGGCTTCCTACACCACATCTTGCTGATGTCACTCTTCCCCCTCTTCTCCCCTTCTCCTCTTTCGCCTCCATAACTCACTAAATAAATATCCAACCTCACTTTGCATGGCATACTTATCCACATCTCTGTCTCTCACCTGCCGCATGGCTCCCTGCTCAGGACAGCTGCCTTTGGGGACCTGTGGTGTGGTCTTGTGGCATGTCCATCCATCTGTCTCTCCTCGTGGAACTGGTTGCTCCAACGAGGTCTCTCACCCACCATGCGGCTCCCTGCCTGCGACTCGCTGCCTCTTGTGGCCCACTGCAGCCACTTGGGGAACTGTGCCTTTCCTGCCTCAGACTGGCTGCTCTCAGGACCTGCAGCCCTCAGCCAGCTGCCTGCCGCCATTTCGGGGACCTGTCACACGGTCTCATGGCCGGCTGCCTGCCACCACTGTGGGGACCTGCTGCCTACTGCAGCCAGCCACTCAGAGACCTGCAGCATTTTACTTTTACCATAACATTGGTGCCATGACTCGGATTTTACTTAAACCATAACAGTGGCGCCTTTCATTTTTTGTGACTTAAAACTTTCAGCAGGTGCACTGGTGCACACCTCTGAACCCAGCACTGGGGAGGCCCAGGCAGGTAGAGCTCTGTGAGTTCAAGGTCAGTCTGGTCCACGTAGTGAGTTCAAGAATAGCCAGAGTTGTATAGTAAAACCATGTTTCCAAAAAAGTACAAGATAAAAATTAAAACTTTTTTCTTCTTCTGTTTTTTTCTTTTTCAAGAACAACGTTTCTTTGCATATTCCTGGTTGTCCTGGAACTCACTATGTAGAGCAGGATAGCCTTGAACTCACTTGAGCTGCCTGCCTCAGCCTCCCAAGTGCTCAGTTAAAGGCACTGCTGGGGGCACAGAGGACCCTGTACTCACAGAGAAGCACTAAGAGAACCCAGAATGTTAAACATGCCCGATGGAGAAGATAAAAATCAAATACCTGCATCCCATCCACAAAGCTGAGAGTGTCCTTTTTTGCTCTCTTTTAGGGACAGACCTTGCCCTAATTCCCCAGAATGATTATTCCAGACTACTCCCTCCTTAAGGCGAGCAGTCACTGGTACTTTGTGGCCTGGTGACCTCTATGTTACCGGTCAGAGGCCACACTAGATTCTAGGCCTTTTAGCAAAGAACCCGCCCTCACGGTCACACAAACCATGGATTCCTGATGTAGTCACCCCTTAAGCTTTATTGTGCACCTGGAACTGAACTGTTTGTTGCCTAGAAAATTCTCCCAAACTGCACTGTTTTAAATATGCTGGCAATGCACCACCTGGCTCGGACTCCCCGAGGTCTGACCAGGTTGGAGAAGTCAATCTGTACTGAGTTTCCATTCTCATCTCTGCACTGTTCCTGTACGACACCCTTAAGGACCCCTTCACACCAACCTCTCCTCCCATCCCCCCAGCTCAAACATTTCCCACCTCAGTTAACCTGATCAAGAGAGCCCCCTAAAGTGTGCCTAGAGGTCCATGTCCCAGGCGACTCTAGATCTTATCAAGGTTGAAAACATCAATTAATTGAACATCACACCTGAGTTGTTGAACCTGGCTGCTGTCTTATGACCAGATTTATTTTATGCTTTCAGAGAAACAAACACCAGCACAGGTACTGAATTCATATACATAATTTGATCTCCTTATCAATGGAAGCAGTGTCTGTATATGGCGGGGGAAGGGCCCATAAGTCCAATAACGGAGTGCCAAGTTCTCGTCCTATTTGTAGCCCAGCAGCACCCGGCTATTGCATTGGACACACCACGTCCCACTACAGCGCCTCAGGGATCTCACGAGAGAGGATTTGACTCTTTTCATCCCGGAAAGGCAAGTGAGGCTGTCTCTAGTCTGGTCCCAATATTCTGTTGGAGGATATTATTTTTAAATGTGTTCCATTTGTTTATGCGGTGGAACATTTGTTTTAATAATGCAAAGATGTGCTGCATTCTTTTAGGGTGCATTTGTTTTATTCTGCGAAGCTGTGATTCTTTGCCTGGTCTAAAGAGCTGAATGGCCAATAGCGAGGCAGGAGAAAGGACAGGCAGGACTGGCAGAAAGAATAGGAGGAGAAAGAGAGAAAAGAAGGAGCCAGACACTGAGTAAGAATGAAAGTAAGATGTACAGAAGTAAGAAAAGGAAAAAAACAGAGGTAAAAAGTAGACATGATAATTTAAGAAAAGCTGGCCTCAAACAAGCCAAGCTACAGTCAGTAATTTATAAGTAACAGTAAGCCTGCCGCCCCCACCGTGTGTGTGTGTGTGTGTGTGTGTGTGTGTGTGTGTGTGAGAGAGAGAGAGAGAGAGAGAGAGAGAGAGAGAGAGAGAGAGAAAGGGGGGGGAGATTGATTTGGGAGCTGGGTGGCAGACCCCTTGAAGGGTCTAGAAATAAGAATATAGAAATATAGGTACCAAAAATTAGAATGTAGAAAGAGGGGGGGGAGATTGATTTGGGAGCTGGGTGGCAGACCCCTTGAAGGGTCTAGAAATAAGAATATAGAAATATAGGTACCAAAAATTAGAATGTAGAAAGAAAGACAGAAAGTCATAAACCTAGACAAACTACCAACAGCTTTCTCGGCAGTTTAAGGATCAATTGTCACAGTGGATCATTTTCTCAGCTGCTTAAGGATCTATCGACAGCAGTGGGTTATTTCATTTTACAACTGGCTGCTCTGTTTACAAGACCAAGTGTCCCTCTGCAAACTGAGAGTTAGCCCTAAGATAACACCCTGCCATCCCCACCTGTCATTAACAACAGGTATGAGCTGAGTTAACTTTTAAATGATGAGGTGTACCTGACTTTTGAGTTGTGCATTTTCCCATACCCTTCCCTACTGTACGAAACTGGCAGTGTCAGGGGAGTGCAGAGCTTTGGTAAACACCATCAGGGAAAAACAGCTCTGGCCTCAGCAGAAGAAGGACAGGTGTGGGGCAGAAAAGGGGCTTCCTTCTCACAAGATGTTACCTGTCTATCTTTGAATATATACATGCATTTATATGTGTACACACCATGCATATAAGCATGTATATTCATGTATGTTTTAGTTTCCAGGGAGGGTGGTAATATGCCTGTATTCCCAGCACTTGGAGCTTGAGACAGGAAGGTCTCCTTAGGTCAAGGTCACCCTGGCTGTAGACCGAGAACACCTCTCAATTGCTCACTCACTCAGTCAATCCACAGCAATAAAAGAAAAGCTCTAAACTGGGCGGTGGTGGTGCTTGCCTTTAATCCCAGCACTCGGGAGGCAGAGGCAGGTGGATCTCTGTGAGTTCGAGACCAGCCTGGTCTACAAAAGCTAGTTCCAGGACAGGCTCCAAAACC